CTTTATTATTTGTCACAGGTTTTGACTTCCATCAAGGGGGAGATTGATGACTCCACCTTGTTGTTTTCCTTGTTGTTTCGTTTATATTCCTACTTAGTTTTATATTGGATGATGGAAGTCAAAATGAATAGTCAATGTTTATTTAATATGCTAATATGTTTAGTTTATTTATCTTAGCTTATTTTATGATTCCGTCAAATTATATTCGAATATATCCTGCTAAGTATGCTAACCTATTCGTATATTCTGCTATAAGCATGTTTATGTTTTTATTATTCTTTAAGTAACTGATTTTATCTTTATGCTTCTAAGATAATATTTTCTGTCAAATGTATTTATTTATCTAGCTTATTATTTATCTTATTTGGTTGTTGAATTTTTCTGAATATGATAAGATTTCTGTTTAAGATAAATATTGTTGTTACTTGTGCTTGCTGACCTGGTTTTTAGGAAGCTAAGTATGCTGTAACAGATTTCTAGCTGGAAGATAAACGTTGAATTTAAAAGCAGCTTTGAAGTTTGAATTTGAAAGCTTCGAAATTTCTGGAGTTTGTTGAAGACCCAGAGACAGTTGGCAACGTTTTAAAGTCAGCTTCAAAGCCTTATAAATAGCATGAAGATCAGCCGGTTTCATTATCCAAGTTTTTCAAGAAGTCTTGTGCTATTCTAAGAGCTTTAATTCTCTCATTGTTTACTACTTTTCATTACTTAAAAGTGAGGGAAAAATACGAGTGTTCACTTGTGCTAAACTTTGTAATACTTGAGTGATACACTTCGTAGTAAAATTATAATACTCGAAGTTGTTTGAGTGTGTTAGCTTTTATTTCTAGGATTTGAGTGTTTAAGGTGTAGTGGGAAGTACTACGGAGAGAAGATAGTGAGATCTTCTAGGTTGCTTTAGAACTCTAAGGGAAGAAATAAAAGTTGGTTAAAATCCTACGGGTTGGACAACCCTAGGCGGAGACGTAGGCCTTTGTGCTGAACTTCGTAACAATTCCTTGTGTTTATTTCTGTTTTTATTTTTGCCTTATTCTTGCTTTCGTTCTTTGTTTTAAACAGTTTTAACAAAATCCAAAACAAACGTTTATAACCTTCTGCTTACTAACTGTTTTACTTTAAATAGTTTTCAAAGTCTTGATTTGTAAAACAGAGATCAGTTTATTCCGCCCTGTAACTGATCTTAAGGCCTTGACATTTTCTGTTTTGCGAAAAACACCCATACTCTATTCAACCCCCCCCCCCCTTCTAGAGTATTAATATGTTTATTCCATTACCATTGTGATCCTTTCAGTATATATATAGGAATTTAATTTAAAGCATATGCTACAAATCATAATTTACATGTAAATCAATTTTACCTGTTATCTTGGCCACGGCCTACAAATCTGTTTGGACGATCATGGGAAGGATGTCAAAGTCTGACCTTGACGAGTTCCTTTGTGCAACACCAAGCTCTCTACATAATTACCTAAAGTTATATCATCACGAATGAAGCATCTCTAAGTTTTAATTTGATGAGTAGAAAATTTGTAAGAAAACAATTTTTGACAGTGGTTAATGATAAATGTATCAGTGTCCTGATTATAGAAGATCTTTGAAAAATGACTATTCATCCAAGACCTCGGTGTAGACAATCCCCCCACAATTTGCATCTCTTGAAAGCCATGGCCTCCACGACCACCCTTTTCTATTATCCTTATCCTTATCCATAACCCATATGCAAAAGCATAAAGACGACAAACCGAAAACAGCTATTGACTCGCCAAGAGCGAAAATAAGCCCATAGACTACTACTCCTTGATTCGTGAAATTGGGCAACTCCACAATGCTAAAGTCCTCAGAATCAAAATCAAAGGAGACGAGACGAGTCTTGTGAGTATACTGCAATGAATACATCCCATTTATCTTCAAAACAACTACTCCGTATAATTATTCATTCCACTTATAATTGCTATCGTTAGAAGAAGGATATCCCAACAACCGCCACAATCTCAACAAATCCCTGTTGCAGCCAGGTAGTTGCGTAGACATCAACATCAACCCCATTACAGTTCCATGAAGTTTATATGACTCGTTAATCGTACAAATATGATCAGTTATCTTAAATGTATCAGTGCTTCGAACAGTAAATATAAATTCATCGTGGCCTTTAATGCTTGTCATGACTAGTACATCAGTGGTTATACGATTGTTTGTGTTGAGGCTGAAATCTTCGGAATTGATTAGACAACACCAGAGTTTACAAACACACCTGAATCTTAGTAGGCTTTTCACCGGTAGCCTTGCTAGTGTGTCCCTTAGTAAATCTATTGGTATGTGAATTTCTTGGTCATCCAACATTCTCATCTTCTTGCGTGCTCAAGCGCAGAGTAAAAAGCTTAGGCTTTTAAATTTGTCATTAGTTATTTATAATACACTTTATATAGCTAGGAAGACTCCTAAACCTACCAAACTTTTCACACGTCTAACAAGGCCTAAATTGCTATATAGATCATTTGACCAGATTGGTAAATAAAAACGACCCCTACGACAATTTGGTAAAAAAATTTACTCCGACGACAATTTGGTAAAAAAAGCTAACCATATGCGACAATTTGGTAAAAACAATCAACTTCGGCGACATTTAGACAAAAAAATCTAATTTTTTCCGACAAACTCTTTAAAAATCATAATTTAATTTGTTTTTGTGTTTTTAAATTTATATTTCCCCTTTTAAATTTTGAATTAATATGTAATCTCCTTTTGATATATTTTGCTAAATCCCAATACCAAATTTATTTCCAACCCCTTTTAAAACATTTCGTTAATAGGGGGTATAAAACTTAAGTGAAAAATTGATACTTAACATGTTTTTTTTTTCTTGAAATTATTATTTTTATAAAAGAGTTGATTAAAAAAAAGCACGAAAAGCGAACTAAATTAAGTATTCGCGAGTAATTTGTCGGCCATTTTTGTATTTTTTGGGTTAAATGTCGCCTGAGATAATTTTATTTACCAAGTTGTCGCTTTGGGTTAAATTTTTTTAATAAATTTTCGCCGGAGTTAATTTTTTTTACCAAATTGTCACTAAGGGTCTTTTTTATTTACCAATCTGGTCAATTGTCCTTGCTATATATAATTTACCTAAACTGCTAGGGTTAGGAATTTTTTTTTCCTCAAAGCTAATCTAATCTTAAAATTTTTATCGTGCAGATGCACCATGCTCCGTGCATCTGGTTTTCTTTAAAAAAAGGCGGAATGAACATATAGTTGTTCAATAAAGAACATATAGTTGTTTTTTAAATAACGTATAGTTATTTTATAAAGAACATCGCATATGGTTGTTTTGTAATGAACATATGACTATTTAGTTAAAAAAAATCCAGTTTTATGTTCTTTGTATATATTTAAAGAGCATCCGTAATATTAATAAAGAGCATGATAATATAATGTAATGAATATTATTTTTATTCAAAAAAAAAATGATAGTATTTTTAAAGAACATCTAGCTTTTCCATCTTTAAATGCATTATTTGTTCCATAATAAAAGAGTTTTGGTAATTATTTCCTAATCTCAATTTAGAAATTTGTATATTTCCTCATATTTAATTTCACTTGTTTGAATTTTTTAGAGAGAGAAATAGAAAATTTATAGAGAAAAAGAAATTCTTCTGATAGAAGACAATGGTTGCGCATTTAGATCGAGTTTCGTGGTGCTTGTAATCATTGTTTATTTAATGGAGTGATTTTTAATGAAAGTGAATATGTGGATTTGTTAATCAAAGATCGAAGGTAATTTTGAATGAAATTTTGTATATATTTTTCTTTAATTATGCTACTTTAGATTTGAATTAGAATATTTTGTAATCATAAACTTCATTGTTTATTTTCCTTTTTAAAAGTGGATGAATCTGGATGTAGATGTTGAGTTTGAGAATAATGTGACAAAGGTTGAAGATGATGTTCTTTATAAGATAGTGTTATGTTCATTTCTTTAGGGCCTGTTCTAATAGACTGAAATCAGCTGAACTAAGCTGAACTGAACTGAACTGAACTGAACTGAATATTTTATAAGAGAAGGAAATTAGAAGCTGAATTGAACTGAAATGTATGAGAACAGACTCTAAATCTTTACAATTTATAACATGTTCTTTTCACCTTAACTAAATGTTCTTTTCATTTTAGCTAAATGTTCTTTACATCTCTATACAATGCTCTTTTCGCTTTTTTTTGGAACGAACGCACCATATGCATGGTACATCCGCCTCCACGAACACTAATTGATCTAATCTAATAAAAATGTCTCAAATCAAATCTAAACTATGTATGATAAAATATTTTTAAGGAAATTTTAGCCTTTAAGATTTAGAAATTCTATGCAGTGACTTCCTAATTTAGATTAATACACATAGTGACTTCATAGGCTAATTTTATGGCTAACCCATCACTAAAAAACCTATTACTAACTATTATCTCTTATTTAATTTATAACCCATCCCCTAATTAACACTGCACCATCACCACCCCCTTTGACCCTCCCTAACCCACAAAACCACCTCCCAGCCAACCCCGACCCCAAAAACCACCACTTTGTTTACAGGTCGGGTTAGTGGTTTTTAGGGGTCAAGGTGGGTGGTTTTGGGGGTCGTGGTGGGTCAAACTGTCAAAGGGGGTGTAGAGGGACGACCGATTTCAGTGGTTAAGAAGGGGTGGTCGGTTGGTTTTCAACGAGGTTAGGGGTGGGTTTAGGGTTTAATGGCAGGAAAGGGTGGTTGGAAATTATTTTTAAAATTTTGGATCAATCACGTGTTGACACATATCATGAAAATCCATTATAACAAGTTGTTAACCGGTTGGGACCATTGGAGATAAACTAACAATAACACAATTGTGATTATTGATATTATTAGAAGTAAATCGCTTGAGATTATTACTCCGTAAATTGTAATTTTCCAATTTTTAAAACCCTTGTAACATTAGTTTAGTTTTTATATCAGAAATGGGCGGACATCCATTTTAAAAAGACAGTTATTGAACGGCAGCCGCTACGCATTACACACATAAACTACAGAACAACCAACGTTTTCTCTTCATTATGCTCTTCAATCTGTCCTCCATTGAAGCAGCTTGTGAGCTTGCTATCTTCCATTAAAGTAGCTTCCGAGGTAATATGGTTTTCTTTTGTCATTTAATCACAGAATATCAATTCACAATTTACTGTTAATCGTTAAATTAATTTAATTTAATTGAACTATTGGGTTGTAATTTAATTGCTCAAAGGTTGATTCTTGGAATTCATATTGTTTTAGCAAGAAGAGTTTGATTCAAATTTGGTTGCTAATGTATTGCAGAACCCTTCAATTAATGTCAGGAAGGAACTATGAAAATGACATTTTTATCCCTGGGCCGAGGGCGGCTTCCCCTCCTGCCTTGGCTCAGGGTCAAGAACTCTGTATTTGTTCGTCAGAAATCTGCATATGCTTCTGCCCTTTTGAGTTCTTGGTTCACTGATTCTAGTTCTGATGAACAAACTGTTTCGAATCATAGCAATAGTAGTAGTTGTAGTAATAGCAATAGTAATAGTAGTAGTAGTGATGTAGAGGATCAAGTGCATGAGTTAGACACCAAAAGGGTTATTGAAATCTTGAAGGGTTTCGGAAGTGACCCGAAACAGGCCTTTTTGTTCTTTTTTGAGTTGAAGGAACGAGGGTTTCGACACAATGTTGAAACATATGTCTCGATTATTAGGATTTTGTGCAGTCGGGGGAACTATAGATTGTTGGAGGGTTTGTTGTTGGAGGTTATTAGGTCGAAGGAGGGAGAATTGGGTTTTGGCATTACTGAGTTGATGGAGGTTGTTTTTAGTTTACTTGAGGTTGGGGTTGAAAATAGTGGTTCATTGGTTAAGGTGATTGATGCTTTGGTGAAGGCTTATGCTAGTTTGGGTATGTTTGAAGAGTCGGTTGATGTTTTGTTTCAAACACGAAGACGGGGTTTGGTGCCTTGTATATACTCTTGTAACTATTTAATAAATTGCTTGATTGAGAAGGGTAAGTTTGACATGGCTGAGGCTATATACCAACAATTTAAGAGGATGGGTTTGAACCCCAATGTATATACTTACAATCTTATGCTTAAGGTTTTTTGTAAAAAGGGTGATACTAAGAAAGCAGATGATGTACTTACGGAGATGGAGAAAGCTGGTGTAAAAGCAAATGAATATACTAATGGCACTATAATTGAAGGACTTTGTTCACTTCAAAGAACAGATTTAGCATATGAAATTCTTAAGCAATTAAGAGAAAATAATGATCCTGTTGACATTTTTAGTTATGACATGGTGGTTCATGGCTTTTGCGACGAGAATAAGTTGAGTGAAGCTGAGGCTGTTTTGCTTGATATTGAGAACCAAGGGCTGACACCTGATGAGTATAGCTTTGGTGCTTTGATTCATGCATATTGTAAGAGAGGAAGTATTCAAAAAGCATTTAGTCTTGAAAGTGACATGCTGTCAAAAGGTGTGAAAACAAACTGTTTCATTGTGAGTTCCATTCTTCAATGCATTTTTTCTAGGGGATCTTTTACCAATGTTCTCAGTCAATTTAAAACGTACAGGGACATGGGGGTTTTTCTTGACGAAGTTTGTTATAACATTATGATCAATGCTATGTGTAAGTTGGGTAGAGGAGAAGAAGCTCTGGAGCTGCTTGAAGAGATGAAGCACAAAAACTTGGTCCCGGATCTGATTCACTACTCCACTGTGATTAATGGGTATTGTCTTGAGGGAAAGCTTCTTGATGCTTTGAACGTGTACAAGGAAATGAAACATAAGGGTATTCGGCCTGATCTCATTACTTACAATATACTTGCCGGTGGTTTTGCTAGAAAGGGGCTTGCAAAAGAGACTTTGTCATTTCTTGACTACATGAAAACACAAGGTTTGACACCTGATGTTGCTACACATAATAAAATCATTGAAGGCTTCTGTTTAGCAGGAAATGTAAGAGAAGCTGAAAACTATTTCAAAAGTTTGGCGGAAAAGCACCCAGATAATTACTCTGCTATGATTAACGGGTACTGTGAAGCTAGACATACACTGGAGGCGTTAAATCTTTTTGTCAACCTTTACAAGCACGGAATGTTTCTGAAGCAGACCTGCTGGAAGTTGCTTAGTAGCCTTTGCATAGAAGGTCAAGTTGAGAGTGCATTTGATTTGTTTGAAACATTGCTAGTCTCTGACAATTATAATTGCATCAAAATGTACTCAAAGCTTATGTCAGCATTGTGCAATTCTGGAGATATAAAAAAGGCTAGGTGGTTGTTTGACAATTGGATAAATAAAGGGTTGAAACCTGATGCCATTATGTACACAATAATGATTAATGGGTTTTGCAAGTCTAATCTTATGTCGGAGGCCTGGGAGCTTTTAGGTGCTATGAAGGACAACGGTATTTTGCCTGATGTGGTCACTTTCACTGTTTTGATAGATGGTTGTGTAAAGTCAAGCTTAAAGAATTCTCGTTCGCGCCCAAACATGTCTCTATGTGAGAAAGCCACAGAATTTGAATCTGAGATGTCAGAATTGCAGCTGAAACCTGATGTTGCCTGTTATACTGTGTTAATTGACAAACGCTGCAAGATGAATGATATCAAGGATGCTATTAAGTTGTTCAGAGAAATGATGGATAATGGTCTGCAGCCTGATAATGTGACATATACAGCTCTCCTTTCTGGCTGTTATAGAGTACAAGATGTGGACACAACTGAGACACTTTTTGATGCGATGACTGCACAGGGTTTACAGCCTGATCAAATAACCAGGTCACTGAAGTCAAAATTAGAACATGGTATATTGAAAGCAAAGAAAGTGCAGTTCACACATTGAGCAAGCTGATAAATGGTTTTAGCTCCTGAAATCAAAATCAACGGGTTAACTCTGTTACCATTGCTTGGAGGTTAGTTAAATTCATATCAGCTGCTGTTCATTTCTAATGGTTGATATGATTGTGATTCTAATTGTTGATATGATTGTGATTGACAATTCTTATTACTATAGAAGGTCAAAATTATCATTGATTCTTTAATCTATTATGCTTTGTATTTGAAATGTCTATATAAAGATTTAGCTTTAGCTGTCAGCAAAATATGTTTAAAGTTATGGACCCTAATCATAAGATATAAATTCTCCCTCTATTTCCCAAAGTTTGACTCACTTTCTGTTTTGGGGTGATTATGAAAGTCCAACTTACTTTTATCTTATTTATTATTGGCCATCCCATATTAACATCTTACCACTTACCCCTTAATATTTACACCTTTCCACTTGCTCTCTCTTATTATATAATTTATATACCCTTTTAATGCACCCAATTACAAGTTTTATAAATAAAACTCTATCTCTTTATCCATATCTTTCTTATACCCATTCACTTTTTCCAAACTATTCTACGAACAAGAGTCTACGGTAAGTGGGTAGGATTTTGTGGTATGGATGGACCGAGAGAGTTATTCTCTTGATTCAAAAAGCCTTTGTTGCGTTTTTTTTCTATCCTTAAGCTGACCCTTCTACTCCCAGCGTGTATAGAGAGAGAGGAAGGCTCATGTAAGAACTCAATCTTAAATAAGAACCAATCTCAGCCCTTTATTACTTTTGATCTAATCATCTAAAATGATCCTTTAGTAATGACATTTCTATAATTTTGAGGAGTTCATATTTAGAACATAGAAAAAAAAAAATTTAGGACTTAGGAAAAATTTTAGAACATAAGCAGAAAAAATTTAGAACATAAGCAAACAAAATTTAGGACATAAGAAAAATGATTTAGAACATAAGTTGAAAAAAAAATTTATAACATAAGCCAAAAAAATAATTTAGAACATAGGAAAAAATTTAGAACATAAGTTGAACAAATAATTTAGAACATAAGCTAAAATAAAAATTTTAGAACATAGGAAATAATTTGGAACATAAGTAGAAAAATTTAGAATATAGGAAAAACTTTAGAACATAAGCAGAAAAAAAATTAGAACGTAGGAAAAAGTTTAGAACATAAGGTGTTCTTACATAAGAAAGGGTTCATATATGAGGAGTTCTTACCGGTTTATGTCTCACAAATAATACCCCTTTGTTGCACATAATTCCTTATCTCCCTTTATTATTCAATCTAGCTTACATAAGGAAATGGTTATCTCTAGAAAGAGAGTGTTTTATTAATTGGATATGAGCTATAAACTAGTTGAAGTGGTTTTGACATTACTAGGGGCTATATCAAGCCTACCTCGCATTACTGTAAGTCTGTAATGAACTGTTACAAGGATGAAGCAACATGAAATAAGGGGGAGACAAGGGGCAGCAGCAAAAGGAGGATGATCGCATTACAACACTAGGAGACAAAATTAAATAAGAAAGCACTAGGGAGTATAGCAACATGGACTGATTTCTGATAGCAGTAGAAGACAAGCTTAATTATTGTTAGATTATCTTAGTTATCTAATTATCTTTTGTGACCTTGCTAAATACATTAGGAGTAGTAGCATGTGCAGTAGGGCATTATGTAAAAATTGTGTGAGAACTTTTGTGAGAGATTTGTAGCCTAAAAGGCTAAAACTACTAGTTAAGAGTAATAACCTATTCTATATAGAGAGTAATAGTCTAAAGCTATTTAGAATTTTAGAGAGTAATACACTTGTCATTTGTAACCTCTTTTGCCACTATCAATCAAACATCAAGCTTTCATCTTTATTCATTTGCCTTGGTAAATCAGAAAATACTAGGTCCGAAATTCAGTTACATTAGGTTTTTGTTTTCTTAGGATAGTATTTATGAGAAAATATTACCATCTGGGATATATATTTCTGGCCTTTTACTGGTCAGCTTATAGGCTGGATCAACCAACTAACAATATCTGCTTTTAAAAGGTTTGAACACATTGCATTACTCTCAAAGTAGCAAATAATTACTCAAAAGATTATAATTTTTTTTATGCATTTGGAAATTGGTTTCAATGCACTCTTATTAGGACATAATTTTTCTTTTTCAATTTATACCAGTTTCTTATTCACTATTATTTGCAGGTGATTCACATTATCCGGAAATGCAACATACTTGGAATTAAAATAGTAAGTGTACGGAATTTACGCTTTTTCTTCGTGGCATGTGATGCAACTTTGGTATATTGTGAGTTTTAGAAATTACATTGGGAGCTTTGACAGGGTTGGGGCCTAAACTCTACGGATGAAGGGACGACGTAAACATTTTTGTATAATATTTTTACTTGAAATCACTTAAACGCTGTTCTGATTCATATGTTAATTTTCCTTTCAGTTGGTACAAGAGCAGAGACTTTTGAGGGAAAAATAGGAACTCAGCATGATGCTATATTGTTTTGTTGATCTTGAAGTAAGTTAACAGCAACATTCAACAAAAATATTTCTTACCATGAGTTTTACTTTTCAAAATCAAATGTTAAAATGAGCTAGTCTTTAGTTAATTTTGCATCTGACATTGAATAAAAAGCTAGCTCTCTTTCTTTTCTTTCCCCGGAAAGACGGAAAAGCCCCTTTCCAGCTCACTCTGTCGCGAGCTTGTTGTAGTCGGTCCTAAAGGGAGAATCTTGCTTAACAATGGCACCAACGGATACTGTCACATCGGCTGGTAACCAACCTCGGGATTGATTGTTGACGGATGGCTTGGGAAAGCTTCAACCAAAAGGGATGAAGCGAGCAGCCGCGAAGGCAATCGCTCGGATGTTCCCCTAACCCAACCCGGGAACGGACCGGAGGGAACCGCAGCAACCAATACTCTGCATAATTATATAAACTACAGCAATGTATGAAAAGGCTAAGGCGCACCAAGGCGATTTGAATTTTTCTGTGCTTAGGTGTGCATCAATAAAGTGAAGCTCTCTTAATACACATTTTCTATAATTAAAAATAAATAAATAAATTAAATAAATTAAAAAAAAAATTAAAAAAAGTGAAAAAATGCTATTCGCCATAAAGGGTGCTCCTAGATGAGCGCTTCATCAAATTCTCTTTGTGCATGACCCTTATAACCTTACGCCTAAGTATGCCTTATAAGCTAAATCTCTAAGTGATTTAAGTAGAAAATTTTGCTAGGATTGATTGTTAGACATGTATCAGGGTAGTGATTGACTACTTGAACTTAACTTCCTCAGATTGGGTCAATTATATAAGGAGGGGGGGCTTTTGCAGTTCCATATGCTGAAGGAGTTTCTTTGATGAGTATCTGAGACATGGAAGTTCTGCTATTTGCTTACTTTCTTAGGTGAGGAATTGCTTCATTTATACTCACTCCATTTCAAAAAAATTGTTACACTTTATTTATTTATTTATTTTTCCAAAACCAAAGAAATGATTCGAAATTAAGAGAAGAAAATGGAATAAGTAGATGAAAGAAATAATTAGTTTAAAAAATAAGTAGTGGACCCAATAGAGTAAGGATATTTATATTTATAAAAACGGTAAGTGAATGAAAAAAAAAAATAGTAGGCCACATGTTCTCGAATTGGGAAAAGGTACAGCCGCACAGGGTAATCTTTTTTTAAAACATCCCTGAATTGAATGTTTTATAACTTGCTGTTTAGGTAGAAGAAAGGTTCTGGGCTGTGTAGATGCTGAGACATATACTTGAATCTAGACTATCTAGTGCCAATGAGGTCTTGGCCTAGTGGTTAAGAGTGAGGGGTGCTGTTTACATAAGATTGCTGGGTGAAATTCCACACCCCCATTTATAGTTTGTATTGCCCTTGTGGCTTATATGGACCAAAAATTTCATATGTACTTGAATCTAGAGTTGATCTTGCCAGGATTTTTTTTTTATCTTTACGTTAGAGGGTTTTATCTGTTTCTTTTTCTTTTTTAGTGTCAATCTGGGGTCGAGTAGCTCAGTGCTAGGCCTGTTTAACCAAAAATCTTCTTGCCAGGTGTGGTCATGCAGGTCCATAGAAGCTTGCTTATGGCTTAACTTTGGTCTGCAGTTGATTACTGCTTTTGACCGATTTCTTTCAATTTTGAGAAGCAAATATAAGAAGGTTATATGCATGAAAGTCATTCACCAATGTGGTAGGTAGGATTGGAGCTTTTTGGTTAAAATTATGCTTTTCTTGGTGTTTTTTTAAAAAAAAATTATAGTGTCTAATTGCTAATATTGGGGATGATATCAGGCATTGGACTTTGTAATGCGTGCTGAACGTGGAAAAAGCTTACAATAGAGCTTTCTGCTCTAAAGGTCCTTATGGTTTAACATTATTCAATGGGTAAGTAAAATACCTGCAAATTTCATCATCTTTCAAAACAAATCTTCTGCGGCCGAATGATTTAAGGGACAAATTGACAATTAGCATGTTGCTGAGGTATAATTTATGATATTGTGGATTGTCACTTGGTGTGGTTGCTGCAATGCATTATGCCATTAGATGTGTGTCTGTCTCTTTATATAATTTCCAGTACTCTACAGTAATTGAAATTTAGAGATGTTCTTTCTTCCAATTTACTCAAACTCGGGTACTCATGTCAATCTAACACAGTTACGCTATGTTACTCGGACTCTTTCATTTACCTCACGTGTCCGTGTCGACACGACTCGTGTCGGACACCGACACAGACACTTGGACACTTCATTTTTAAATAAAAACACAATTTTTTTCAAGAAAATGGGCGAGTCCGATACTTGGACACCCGTGTTTAATTGGACACTTCATCCGAGTCCAAGTAACATAGCAGTTACGTGTACAGGAGGTGTTCAGTATTGTTATATTCTGATAAAACTCTATAGCAGCCCAAAATGAATTGTCAAGTGTCCATACCCTTGTTAGATTGTTAGAGGATTGGACTATGGCCATGGGTACTTGAGTTGAAGCGAAGAACTAGACTAGCATAGCACTTTCTTCTTATGGCTGAGTCCACCCTTTGATGTGATGGGGGTGCTAGAGTTGTGTGTCCTGTGAGTCTGTGACCACATTCTTGGTTGGGTAGCACCTTGCTCTTTGTCATTGCCTTCACCCATTCAGTTTTTTTTAATTCTTTTTCCTTGATTTTGTTCTTGTACTCGTTTCTTACCATTAAAAGTCACCCTTATATATATGAACTTAAAATCATATTTTCTTGTTATATACTTATATGAACTTAGTCATATTTTCTTGTCTTCATGTATCAGTACCCAAAATGCCTTATGTGTGGATTTTAATTTAATTACCCTTTCCCATCATTCCATTTTCTCTTAATTATGCGGCTTTTCGTTTTCATTTGGATTGTTCCATTTTCTTCCAGATTCCAGAGACTATATTTCTCTCATTGAGTAGGATGAGATTAAGAATCTTGCAGCTGCTTGATTCAGAAAGTCAGAAAGTGTGGTCAGCACATTTGGTAAGTGTTAATAAATGGTGGTAATGGGGATAAAATGATGCATAAATTTGTAAGAAAAATCAATGTTTATTCCCATGGTGATTCCAGTTCACCCCAAATGATCTCTTTTTTCCTCACAAATTTGGGGGATAACTGATAATTATGATGAAAAACACAAATTAGGGGTGCATCACTAATGGACACAAGGATGTTACTTGTGAAATTATTCCCATTACCGTTATTTATTACCGACTAGTAAACGGGTTGTGAGGGCATTGTTTGGTGTAGTTCCCTATAATGGTAATCAAGGGCGGTTGTTCTTGCATTTAACTTGGTCAGACTGATACATGGAACGAAATAAGCCCAGGGATACTAATGAATTGCCGAGGCAATTAATGACTTGTTTGTTAGCTTACCCTGATTCTATGAGCATATATAATCGAATTTGCTCAAAATCTATGTATATTTGGATCAGTAGTGTTAGCTACTATAGAATTTCTGGATGTATAAGTAGGCATTTGTGTTCATATGGGACAAGATTTGAGTGTATTTGTATGGGTAAAGTAAATTAGACTAGTTTTAGGTGATTATACTTATGCGAATTACACAGTACAAGAATCTAATGGAAGCTCTTTAAAAAAATTCTTCCTTTTTACAGAGGCTTTAGTAGCTAATTGGTAACCGGTGGTATTAGCTGTTTTATTAATTTGTTATAATTTTTGAAATTAAATGGTTGTACAAAATTGTGTGATACTTCCTCCGTTTTCTTTTAGATGCAACACACCCTTTAGCACGGTAATTAAGAAAGGTGGGGTTTAGATGATATAATAAACTTTACAATAGGATGAGTGGTTGTTAGAAGTGTAATTTAGTGGGCCATGTGCTTAAAATAAGGGATATAATATAGTTTTTCTCTAAAGTAACTTTCCTTTTATAGTGTATTGCAAGTATTGTGACATTTCCTTTTTAAGGAAGTGTTGCAAGTAAAAGAAAACGGAGGAAGTATATAAGTATGAGTTGTGCCCAGTTAATTCCCCAGCTAAACAAAATTTGTTTATTTGGGTATAAACTTCTTTTCAAGTACTAGTGGTGGGGTACATGTGTCTTTTTATGTACTAATTGAGGGGTATATGTGTAATTTTCTCACCAAACAGTAAATGTAAATTGTAAACAGTAATTGGACAGCTCACCAAAAGTATTGAATAAATGATCGCGCTTTTTTAATATATTTACATAAATGTCACCAGATTAATGCAAATTCATTTATTTGGCAGATAAACTTGTATTTGCTGTATAAGTATTAATTGTTACTTGTTTTAGTAATTTATTGTACTTCCTCTGTTCTTTTTTACTTGACCTGTTTCTTTTATTACGCTTGCCAATGCAAAACTTTAGTGATTAATAACTTTAATTTTCTATAAATAAAATTATAAAAGTTGTATATTACGATATTACTTAATGAGACGAATTCAAAAAGACCCCACATGAATATATTTTTCCTTACATATCATTCACAAAAGACGGTCAACGGAGAGGTGATGAATAGTATAAAAGTCAAAGCGGGTCAAGTAAAAAAAACGGAGGAAGTATGTAATAAGGGAAAGATTAAATGTTTACTATGTACTCCCTCCGTCCCATAATTACAGGCAAATATACTATTTTGGGTGTCCCAAAATGTTCCTCCTATTACTAGAAATACTCCCTCCGTTTTTAAATACTTGCTCCATTTCTCTTGAACACGCATGCCGATGCTAACCTTTGATCACTAATATCTTTAATTATCAATAAGTAAAAATTCTAACAATTGAAAATTAATAATCTATTTATTGAGATGATTCCAACAAGTACCCACAAGACTATATTTTTTCTTATGTATAAATCACAAACATTAGTCAAAGTAAGACAAATTAATAGTGCAAAAAATAGAAATTGAGCAAGTATTTAAAAACAGAGGGAGTAACACCTAATCATTACTTACTTTTTAGCTTTTCCATACAAATTACACACATACCTAAAAAATCATTACTTCCTTTTTCATACAAAATACACACATACCCAAAAAAATCATTACTTACTTTTTAACTTTTCCATACAATATTCTCTACTTTTTATTATCCCCATACAACATTCTTCAATTTTTATCTTTTTCATACAATATTCCTCTACTTTTTCCATCCTCTTTAAAAACCGTACTTTTTAGAGTTATTTGCCTGTAATTATGGGACGGAGGGAGTAGTAAACTAATCTAAAAAGGGTTTTATTACAAGCTTTTTTTTAAAAAGAATTATTAGTTCCGTCAAAAAAAAATAATAGTTAAAAAAGTTTTTTCAATTATTTGTTTCCCAAACACTTATAATAGGTTTTTAAATGGTCAAGCATCTTATATGTCTTAGGCCCTACTCAATTCACTTTAAAAAATTAATAATATTAAGTAAAAATAATTTCAGTTCAGTAAAATTAAGTTCAGTTCAGTAAAAATAAGTTCAGTTAAGTAAAATTCATTTTTTTTTAAAGAAAAATTATAATAGAAAATCAGTAAAAATAATTTCTGTTCAGCAAAAATAATTTCAGTTAAGTAAAAATAATTTAAGTTCAGCAAATATAATTTTGTTTCAGTAAAAATAATTTAAGTTCAGCAAAAATAAGGTAAAGTGAATGGGGCCTTAGTTAAAACTTAAAAGCACTTTACCAAACAAGGTGCATGTATATAGACTAGAGAGCAATTATTTATATATGCACCAGGAACAGGTTTATGTATACAAAGCATTGTTAACCATGTAATTTTCATACTCCCTTCAATTGACATTAAATAAAAAATAAGAGGTAAGTGGTAGTTAGATTATTTAAAAATTGTAAAGAAAGATAATAGGATTAATAATTTATTGAAAAATAATGGATGCGAGTGGTAAGAAATAATATTAAAAAAAAAAAAAAAAGGTAGTAGTGAGTTTGGTTGATATCATAAGAAAAGAGAGATAGAATTAAAATGTAGCTATTTGCCAAAAACAATGAAGGGAGTATTTAGCGTAATATATAAAATAGTATGGAGGGAGTATTACATAATTTATGTTACATACTCCAAATGGAAATCAAGTTAAAAGTCGAACGTACTATTTAATTTTCGATGCAAAAAATGATCTAAAAAATTGCTATCTTTAACATGAAATAACGGATTTGGGATTAACTTTTCACAAACTATTGGGTATGGACACCCACACCCAAGTGTTTGTGCGTCCGAAGACAATGATGATGAAGACGACGATGACGGCAATGGTGGGCGATTGAAACCCTAGATTTGAATTGAAGCAGCGGCTGGTCGGTTGTAACACCCCAATAATTTTCTCTTTAAATCTGTGAGGACTCTAAACAATATTCAAGAGAATTACTGGCGTGCTACCGCCACGTGTTCAAACGTTAATGCTTTATCAGAAAATAGCAGCGGAAAAACTAATTCAGTTATAAATAAGTTTCAAAACCAATAACCAAAACCAAATTAAATCATACAACTTGGAACCATTAAGGCCCTTATTCAAAACCCCACAAAAGTAGTAAATAAATAAAACCTGAGTTTAAATAAATTCAAACTTATGAAAAGAAATAAACTGCGAATAATAACCAACTCTCTATTCAAAATCCCACAACCCTAATGCGAATGCTGCGTATGTAAGAACCTGTGGTTAATCTGCTCCCAAATATTACAAATGTAAAAATTGGATCGTCACAGGGTCATTGAAAGGCGAAGGCCATGACCAAAGGAAGACACACACAAAAGCACGCAATCAGCAAAGCTGAGTACATACAAGCTGCAAAACATAAAAGAAATCCCTAACATGCTACTAATAATCAATCATCACGCATCATTAGTTTATAGACTCGACACATGACTCAACTATTTATATTACTAAGACTCCATTAATTAATAATAGGTAAATCATTTTTTTATTCATTGGATTACGCAATAGACAAAGTTGTCCAACCCATGCTCCATTTGGAACATCAATAAAAGAAAAACCCCATGCCTCCTTTCGGAAACATCAATAAACATCTAACGACTACGGGCACGACTCCGTGACTGTAGTTAGTATGAGATCTCACCTAACTCCTAGTTTTTTTAAAAAATAATATTTGAAATAGGAGACTCGTAGATCAGACGGCCTCGATAAAAGTACACAGCTAATACCCCATGTACCCCAACCCCTGATTGTCATTACTCCAGATGTGCACCAATCCAGAGTTTTATTGCTCATCCATCTTGCACTTTACGTGATTTACAGGTTTAGATTTGGTGATGACTCATATACATTACAATACAAACATTCCAAACACAATTCAACCAAACATGGCAAATTCCCAATTTAAATTCTTGATTTATTGGTTACTACCTCGGTGTATAAACACCTTGAGTGCATAAGGCACCCCAAAACCTTAACCTCGTCTTATAAGACTTGAATTCCTCCTTTACTCATCCTGTTTCCATAAACATGAATAAGTAATAATTTAATCTTTAATTTACACCAATCACACACCTTTGCCTTTAAGCGCACCTTGCATAATTAGAGCACAAATAATACTTGCATTATAAACTAGTGCACATCATTTGAAATTTACAATGTATAACCAAACAATTTAACCCAGTCAATCCTATACATGATACTAAGTTCTCGATCCGTCCTTAAACATGCACCTACAAGCAAGGTTTCGTAACTTATACGTACCTTGAATAAACGAATTGGTATGCCACTTTACTATCTAGAAATCACCTTCAATAAACTCCTCTCCTAAACCAAACAATTACATCTCAATCGATCAATACCCAATCAATCAAATTTACAACAATACTAACTTACTTTAAAACCTTCAAAATCCAAATCAAACAACACTTTAAAACCTTCCCTTTAGTTAAAATTAAAGGCTTATATATAGTTTTTTAAATTTTCTTCATAAAAACCTTAAAATACACTCTTATACATGAAATTACAGCAAGTTTAAAGTCTAATAAAAAATCTAAAAATTATATAAAAACCCCTAATAATCTCCCTTTTTAATGGGTGATTAAACCCTCTTTATAAAACATCAAAAGTAATACTTAGAAACTATTTCCAACACTTAAAACTTCAGTAAAAACATAATTAATTTTATTAATCAAACTCAAGGATAATATTTTAAATATAAAAAAACTTCGTTAAAATCAAAAAATGCCCGAAACTCATATTTAGAGGCTGAATTTGGCCACGAGAGAGCGGTACTCACTACCAAAGGTAGTGAGTTTTTCTTAAAACGTTGTTTTCACATGGAAAACACTACTTTTTTTTGTCAAAATCGGATGAGTTCAAAACCTGATCGGGATTAAAACGGGATTAATATTAACGAACGGAAATCTAAAAATTAAAACACGAATTTACGTTTTCAAAATAATCTGGAATTAAGTTAAAATAATCAGTAGTTATAATTACCAAAATTTCAAAACATCATTACTATAAAAGCCCTAAATCAATTGTTCATAAAAACCCTAAAATCATGATTTTCAATAAATTGAAACCCTAGGTTTATAATTCATAAAATATGAAAATTTATAACATAAATATAATCTGAAATTTATAATCTTTATACCATCAAAATATAATTTGATACTAAAAATATAATTTTTATACTA